AACGCGGCGGGGAGGGGGGCGCTCGTCGGCAGTGGAGAGGAGGAGGGGGACATGGTCAGACCCGATCCGGGTAATCGCACGAAGCGAGGCTCGGGGGCAGCATAATTCCCATTTCGGGGAAACTAGGACGCGATCCAAAACGAATCGCATCGGGTCAGCCCGACGGTTTGTCCAAGTGAATCGGGCACCCGTCCGGTCTAGCTCACGGAGACCCAGCTCCGCGATCCAGTCATGGAATAACTGCATCCGGGGGAGGTTAATCCGGTCATTATTCTTCTCATCCGGGAATCGGATGAGGTTAAAGTCTCCGCCAACAACGACTGGGAGGAGAGAGTTGGAGATCTTCAGATGAAGCTCCTCCAAGAAGGCCGGGGAGCGGCGATGGTCCGTCGGACAATAGACAATCATGATCTGCCATTTGAAGTTGAGGGACCACTCGAAGATCTCCATACTCACAAAGAAATCCCCCCGATCCATGCCCCCAACCTCGAAGGTGGCATCCGTCACCCCTAACAAGATGCCGCCAGAGTGGCCAGTGGTCCCACTAGAAGGGAGCCAATGCCAAGCGAAGAGGTGAGGACTAAGACACTAGAGCTCCTGGAGGGTGAACTCAGTGTGCATGGTTTCCTGGATCGCAATGATGTCGATGAGTTCGTCTCGCATGTACTCGATGAGTTGGCGGCGGCGACCATCATGGCCGAAGCCGCGGATGTTCCAGAAAAGGGCCCGCATCTAAACTCCCATAGGGGGGTTGCTTGACCCCAAGACACGGGAGGCGCTTTGTGCACGGAGAGCGGCAGTGCGAGAGCGGGTGCGGCCACGGATCACACCGTCAGCCACCGGAGGGCCCAGACTCGCGGGGGTAGCGGTCGAGTCCATGGTGGGCCGGAGCAAGCACGCCCGGGTCTCAGCCAGCCTACCATCTAAGATCTCACGAGCCCTAATGGCCGCGATCTGTTCTAAGGGGGGACCAACCTCCCCCCTAAAGACTATGGCCGAGTCAGTAGCCACCTTAGCGAGGTGGCCAAGAGGGGCGGCCTCAAGCGCAGAAAAGGAACAACTGGAAGAATTGGGAGGGACGGAATCCACACCTTACTCGAGGTTCCGGACCACTGCCCGAAGCTCCGCACGCTCAGCGACAGACGGAGCCAGGGAGTCCGCCGGAGGGGTCGCATCTAGGCGGGCGCTGCGGCGGGACGCCGTCACCGGCGTCGATGTGGAGCGAGGTCGCCTGACGTACGCCACCGTCGGAGGAGGGTGAGCGGCGGTCGGGGTGGTCACGACCGCAGCCACCGTCGCGGCCGGGGAGGTGGGCGGAGCGAGGTGGGCGTCGGAGGCCACCGGCGGGGGGAGCGGGGCGACGGGCACCAGGGTGTCGCCCTCCGCAACGCCCGCGGTGGAGGTGCCGGAGCCGACGCGCCGACGGGGAGGCCCCCACCGCCACCCATGGGGACCGGAGAGGTCGAGCCAGGAGTGGCTGGGGGGTCCGGGGCCGACGGCGAGGTGAGCAGGGCAGAGACGGCGAAAGGGGAGCGCGGCGATGAAGGCGGCATGACGAGTAGGCCCACACTGGAGATGTCACTGGCCGACTCGAATGGAGGCGAAGGGGGCGCGACCGGCATAGAGGCCAGGCGAAGCGCCACCGCAAGGTCAGTGGCCGACACTCGGGTGTGTCCCGTCCCGGAACCGCCACGGCCCGGAGGTGGGTTGGCGGGCTCGCGGGATGGGGAGCGGGAGTGCTCAGACAAGTCATCGTCATCCTCAGGATCCTCGGGGCACGAGTGACGGGACCGGCGGCGGCGGGAGCCGTCGTCGTCAGCTGGGCCGGCCCCCAAGTGGCAGTCGTCAGAGAAGCGGGGGCGACCGATGTGGTTCAGAGGCTCGGGGCAGATCTTGAGGTCATAGCCGTCGTCATTGAAGAAGACCCAAATCGTGGCGTGGAGCTTGGAGGAGTCCAGGCATTTCACCTTGACCCGGACCTCCTCCTCCTTGCGGAGAGAGAGCTCGTCGACCACTACCATCTTGCCCAGGAGCTTGGACATGCTACGGATGACGCGCTAGGACTGGGCCACATCCGGCAAGCCGGCGATGAGGATTCAAGCCGTGTCGAGGACCACCACGGCCTTGGGATCCCACTTCGGCTCAGAGATGTTCACCACGATCCCGTTGAGGGCCAAGGTGATGTTGTCGCTGCGGGTATAGAAGCCCATGCTCAGAGCGTCGGGGAAGATCACCGTGAAGGAGTTGGCCGCAGTGGGAGTCACCTGCCAGTCCCACTTACATCTACACAAGTGGTTGAGCTCGGCCTCAATCAGCTCTGGGGTGGCGATGGCCTCGCCAACGATAGTCACGAGAGCCAGGAGCGAGGGGGAGGGAGGGGGCAGCTCCGGGACCTCGATGTGGAAGAAGCCCATGTCCTCGATGTCGTGCCCGTACATCATAAGCTCCTCCGTCACCGGGCGGTCCGGGCAGAGAATCGCGGGGTGGCCGGCGTCCTTGCAGAGGTAGCACATCAGAGGGTTGGGGCAAGCCACCTGGAAGTGCCTGGTCAGTCCGTAGTTGAAACACGGCGGACCGTCCAAGGCGGAGGCGGAGCCCGGATGTGGGGCGGCCGCGCCGGCAGCGGGAGTGGCAGCCAGGGGGCGGGGAGTTCCCTTCTTCTTCTTCTTCTTTGCGCCCTGTCGCCCCCGGTTCCCG